ATATTTTAATGGCCTTTGGCCTAACAAATATTAACTAACTTAAAAGCTTAAAACAAGGTTCAAAATAATGACGCTAGTATTCGAGCAAAGCTTCCGCACTCCGTGATGACCGTCGGCAAAAAGGGGCGAGTAACGCCAGCCGCCCTCCTATATAGCCCGGCGCGGCGTCGTCAGACCTTCTCTTCTAACACGGCCTCTCCTGACGGGGCTGCGTGCTCGAAGCCCTCAGCAGGAACTCGTGGATGGCTCAGCAACACTCACCGCGTCCCGCGGTTGTTCGACGTCACCATCGTCGATCTCTGAGAAGATACACACAATCTAAGAGACACTTATTTATATATATAGGATATAGCCCGGCGCGGCGTCGTCAGACCTTCTCTTCTAACAATATTATAATTAGGAGAAGCAATATAGGTTCTCCAACTAAATATAGCTGTTCCAACTGAAAAACTTCATTAATGAAAATAGTACCAAAAGAGCGCAATTGATAAGTAAAACTATTAATTAATACTTCCTTATCATTCATAAAAGTCCTCGGTTGGGAATCTACCTTCATGCCACAATATAAGCTGCTAATGCCTTCAGTCTGGCTGTGGCTGCCTTTCTTGGTTTTTTCCGCCTAATGTTAACGGAATGATGATAGCGCCATCTATTGGGAGCCATCGCATCTTCTTGGTGTTTGCCATAATCGACTCTTAGGCCGGCCACATACAAACGGAATTCCGTTTCGGGATTGCGTTTCGAAATTCCGAACGAATCGGCCACACACATACGGAATCCCGTTTTGCCCGCAAAATTTCGAACGGAAAACTACCGTACGTGTGTGACGGGTCATAGATTTTATATGTACTTGCTGCGTTCGGAATTTCGAATCGGAATATCGAAACGGAATCCCGAAACGGAATTCCGTATGTATGTGGCGGACCTAATACTTAATAATCAATAGAATCAGGCGTTACGTTGCATTTAGTTTAGTAATTTACTTGTAAGGTTAGTGACGATTTATTACGCGGATCTGAGCTAATTAATTATTTAACTTCTTTAAATAACACTTGTTCAAAAATATTTTTATAACGAAAACAAGATGATAATAACCTCTGAGATTGAGGTGATCGCTACCAAGCTGTTTCTAATTTGTTTTGTGTTCACATAATGATTTCTTATATTTACGCGAAATTTTTGGAACGAAGTTCTTTATCGGACGGTACGGGTTTGGCGGATGGAAGCTAGGCGACAAAATTGTAAGATTTTTCGTCACTACTCCTTGTGTCATGTGTAGACGGCCTTGACGGCGAAATAAGGAAGTGAGATGGAATAATATCCATCTCCCTCACACTTTTTCTTATCTTGCCTTGAAAGAAATATTATTTTATTTCAAATGATGTTTAATTTTAATAGACGCTAGTAATTCATCTATTTGTATTTGTTAATCAATAATATAATACCCACGTTTATCTATACAAATAAATAAAATTGAAGTGTCTGTTTGTAATGTCGAAATAACAGCTTTTTGCTATATGCATATGAAAATCTATACGGTACTTATAACAAAATACGATTTTTAAAATTTTTGTCTGTCTGTCTTTCTGTCTGCCTGTTTGTATTTTTGTTCCGGCTAATCTTCGAAACTGCTCGACCGATTTTGACTTAAATTACTTTTATTTTAGAAAAAGAATTAGGTCTTCGCGCAAAAAATGAAAACCCATGAAACTCAATCGTGATAAACTACACGCGGGCGTAGTCGCGGGGAACAGCTAGTCAATAATAATATACTACACAAGGAACTTCGTTCCAACCGAGTGTTCCACGACAATCACGCATTTTTATTATTGTTTCTATCGCGTTTAATTTTTAACGTTTTTTGTTTTCTGCTGTTAATTTTTTTGTACCATATTAGATGATTGAAAGCTTTTAGCAAAAAAACATCCCACTGGGTTTCTTGCTGTTCGTCCCAGGAAAGAGGTATTTTCCGAACTAGTAGAACAATAAAAATAAGAGTAAACAGAACAGTAAATATAAGAGTCACTTTCAATAAGTATTATTAATAATCTTTATTCCATAAAAAATTTATATATTCTATTCAAGAAACTGGTTTTGCAAGTTTCACATTTGGAGCGCAGCCAACAGTAGACTCACTAATTACCATATTCAGATGCATGTTGGCAACGCAGCGGGCTGAAACCATTATAATATTACGCTTGATGCACTGAATTCATTTTAACTAAGAAAATAGGAATTGTCTGCGCGGTGAGCCACGCTGTAGCTATTTTACAGTTTTAGCAGGAATGGATCGGCTCGACCGGGGAAGGACCACGTTCTCACAGAATATTAGCGTAAAATGGCAGCTTAATGCTGCTGTATTTCATATGGTGAGTGTAGAGAACTGGACACCCTTTTTATTGGAAACAAAGCGCTCCATCTTTGTCCTCACGGGTGATAACGCATCTGCATTTTGATTCTTAATCGATGGTAAATGTTAATGTTTATGGGCCACTGCATCCACTTACCGTTCCAGTCTATTAAAGTTGACTGCTGAACATAAGACTCCCCCATAGACTGCCTTAAAAGGAGGGATATTTGCCATAGTTGCCACGCTTGGTAAGCGGGTTGGCAACCGCTTTTTTATTTTTAGTCGTTATTAGGAAGATACTGCTGCCCATCACTTGATTTGCTTCCCTCTGTCACTTCTTACGACACCCACGGCACTATATGGGGTAGTGGATAGTCTTACACCGCCACTACACGGTCACAATGCATCCACTTACCATTAGGTAAACTGTGTGCTCGCTTGTCACCCTTATTCTATAAAAAGGTTTGACAGCATCTTAAGGGAATCCATTACGACTTACCATCTCATGGGTGTTTATAAGAGACGAGAAAGGGAAACTAAAGCAGAAGATGGGCAGCAGTATCATTGTGATGTTAAGAAATCAAAATAATTTAAAAACTGTGCCTGCCAATCCACCCACGCTCAACAAAAACGCAAGGAAATAAATATCATCTAGTTACGAAGGACCAGATTAATATTATAATACTAGCTTCTCCCCGCGACTTCGCCCGCGCGTAATTTATTACGATTGGATTTCATGGGTTTTAATTTTTTACGCGGAACGCGAGTCCCGTACATAAGGACTTATGCCCGCGAGTAAATTGGCAAACGGGATAGGGTCGCGACGACACGTTGTAAGACCCAATCTCCAATCAAAACCTCGGCCACCCTAGGCACCCCATTAGATCCATACGACAACTTAACAATGCGCCCACGGCGCCAATACAAAGGCAAAGCGTTGGGTTCTTTAACTAACACTAGGTCTCCAACCTGAGGAGGATCCGTCTTGTCAGATCACTTAACGCGCTGCTGCAAAAGATGTAGGTACTCCAGAGACCATCGGTGCCAAAAACTCTGAGTCATTTGTTACAGCAGGTCAAATCTGCTCAACCGCGAAGAGTTTATTCCCCTGAGGGTGTACTCGGGCAGGGCGTTAAGCGGCTGGCCAATCAGGAAGTGTCCCGGGGTTAGAACCTCCAAATAATTCGGATCGGACAAGAGGGGACAGAGGGGCCTAGAGTTGAGTACCGCCTCAATTTTACAGAATACATTGTCAAGCTCCTCAAATGTCAAAATAGTTTCGCCAATAATGCGACGGAGATGCGTTTCTGCAACCTTAACCACCGTCTCAAAATACCGCCCCAGTGTGGACAAGTCGGAGGGTTGAATTTCCACTGGATGCCCTTCTTGGACATCGCAGTACCTAAATAAGTTCTGTTGCTGGACAGAAATTCGACGACCTCTTTCAAGTATCTATCCGTGCCCTTATAATTCGTTCCGCAATCAGAACGGATCAGGTCCGCCAAACTGTGACGCGACACGAAGCTGCCCAGCGAGGCCACAAAGGCTTCAGTGCTGAGGGCACTTACAAGTTCTAAGTGAACGGCCTTAGTGGCGAGGCACACGAAAACGCACAGATAGGCCTTATGTGAACGCGCTTATAATCTTAATATAGCTGCATCATGGCTTTATCGCGTAATTTAACCATTCAGCGAAGAAATTACGTATATAACAACGATTAAAGGGCAACATTGAATCGGTTCTTAGTCATGCACTTAAATATATAATAAATAAATAAAATTGAAGTATCTGTTTGTAATGTCAAATAACAGCTTTTTACTAAATTCATACGATTTTTTAAATTTTTTAAATTTTTGTCTGTCTGTCTGTTTGTTCTGGGTAATCTTCGAAACGTCTAAACTGATTTGACTTTCACTGGCAGATAGCTGATGCTATAAGTAGTAACTTGGTATACTTTTATTTTAGAAAAAGAATTAGGGTTCCGCGCAAAAAATTATAACACATGAAATCGTAGTAAATTACACGTGGGCGAAGTCGCCAGGAACAGCTATTAACTTAATAAATCCAGTGACTTGTAAATTCGAAATACAAAATAATCAAATCGTTAATGTAAATTTCAAAATAATTTCATTTTTACTTTACAAGAATAGCAAAATGAAAAGAGAAAAGTCTTTGAAATAATACAAATTATTATGTGTTTGTAAGAACTTAGCTTATATGTTGCTTCAGCTCAAGAAGCTGGTGCGTACATTAAAACGTTCTGTCTGAACTAACTTCAAAGTATACATGTGGTAAAGACTGTGCGATGTCTTTATGCAGAAACTTTACAATGGAACAAAATTACCTGTGTACGATATATTGTAATTTTTTTCCGTCCCTGTTTTGTATATAAATGGTAGAGCAATGCTGCAGCTATATTATGGTTGTAGCACGAATGGCTCAGTTCCATCAGTGTAGGACTATGCTGTCACAGAATACCAGCTTAATACAGTAGCTTAATGCTGCTATATTTCAAATGGTCGTATAGATAACTTAGGGAGCTTAAAGAAATGAGCTTACCCCTTTTAAATAGACCGATAACGCACAGCCTGCCCATGCTGTTCCATATGACCATTTGTTTACCCTTTTCTTCTTTAAAAAAATTTAATATAGAGAAATTACAACCTGTTTATTCATTATTTGCATAATTTGTGCATTTTAAATTGTTATATAGTACAAACATGTAAAATTTCCATTGTACAAAATTATTGAATAACTAAACTAAAAATTACTTTAAAAATTACTAGATTATAAAAATACAGATTTTTTTTACAACATTGCATAGTAATTAACTAAAAACAAGAAAGTGAACTTACGAAGCAATAAAAAAGAAAATAATTACTTTTACACTATAATAGCATTAATATCTATGATTTTATGTCACATTATAATATACAACTGTCGACATTTTATTATATAAATTTCTTTCGTCAAAGTTTAAAGACATATTTGTTCCAACAACTCACTAACCGAATAGAAGAGCATTATTAATTAGCTACTTCTTATATCGTTCCTGAAGTGCTTCATTGATTGTAATTTTATGTATTTGGGTATTGCGTTAAATATTTTATGCATATTGCATAGCAACTATTATGAGAATTAACTGTATTATGTATTTTATAGGTTCGTTCAACTGCTGCGCACAGACCTCATCCATTTCTGAGATGGTTGTGAAACAATTAGTCCCTCGCGTTGCTTCACTGCGTACACATGTACTCTAAATAATTTATATATTTCAAAAAGGGATTATTATTAATTAGTCTTTTTACATTACACATTTATAACAAATGCATATTGAGATACAAAATATGTTTAAGAAACTTACTCTAATGGTAATACAATACTAACAACGCCTTCAGGAGTAATTCGGCGAATTAAATTGAAATCTCCAACATAAAGTGAGCCATCTGGTTAACGCTGTTGGGGTGAGAAGACTAGAATCGGCTGCTTTTCCATTGCAATGTTCGGGAAATTCCAAGGATCTTTGAAGTCCAGTGCCCAATACGACCTGTAACTATAAATTTTGTACATACCTGTAATTATAAATGGACATGCAGGTTTCCCGAGCACATAGCAAATCAGCACTTAAAATTAAAATTAACAACTTCATTGGCGCCGCCAAGGATTGAAGCCGGATCGCTCGAGTACTGTTAAATTTACGACAAGCAACTAGCCCTTTAGTAACCATGGTTTTATTGTTTATAATTTCAAATTTAAATTCGCTTAAGCCTTTTAATTGATGGAGCAATTAAATTTCGGGAAAATATACAAGAAAATGAAAAGACGGAACTCTCGCTTATTAATTTGATAAACTTGAAGTGGCGTCGCCCGGGGACATATCAGAGTCCTTTCATTATATTTACAACCAATAATTAATTCATTATTCATTATAATAATGGGTTCTTATGAATTACAACCCATTAAAAGTTTATTATTCTATTCAAAAGTGTTTTGATAACGTCCTTTCATTATATTTACAACCAACAATTAATTCATAAATATTTTAAAAGAGTTATAATGCGACACAACCCATTAAAAGTCTACTATTGAACATAAATCAACTCCATTGCCTCGTATATTTGCCAAAGTTGCCGCAGTTTTAATTTTTTACAGATAGTAGTCTAATAGGTTCTGAACATTGTTTCGAATACGTCGTTCAACTACTTTCGTAAACCACTCCAAATACAAGAATTTTAAGCTTCCCAGGAGTGGTTGAAGAGAATATTAGTAATGCTTAAAGCAATTCTAGTATTAATTAAAAAAAAGTCCAGATTGTCGTCGCTTACGACACCAATGGGACGATATGGGGTAGTGGATATTCTAACACCGCAATTACACGGTTAACCTATCTAATATTTATTTATAAATTTTCTTCAAACTTTCTAATATTTCAAGAAAATTTATTCAACGTTAGTGTACTGTACTTTCATGACTGCAAGTAGACTTGATTAATCAAAAGTTTATTGAACGCGATGGAGCTAGACTAATCCGTTATGTCTGGCTGATGCATTAGGTACTCTAAGCGGCATCCAGTGAACAGAATATATATAATAAAGATTTTTAATTTATATATCGTTGCCTTTTACAACTTATTTTAAGAGCATCTTTTTAATATAATGTTAAGTACATGCTGCAGGCTTTAGACATTATACATCTATCCTCGATCAAAAATCAAAATGCAGTTACGTTGTCACCCTTGAGAACTAAGGTTAGATGTTTGGGTTCTTTGTTTGGTTGTTCTTTGTTTGGGCTTATCTACCGAAAAGTTTAGAATTTTAATTGTTTGGTAAGGGTTATATACAACTATAAAGTTCATGTTTAATAATAACCCCTGAGAATAAAGTGATCGCTACCGTGTTGTTTCTGATACTAATAGTATGAAATATTAGGTATATAATAATTATGTTTAAAGTCTCGTTTGGTTTCTGTCAGGTTCTTCCCAGGACAGAGGTTTTTTTCCGAACCAGTGGTACAGCTTAAATAACTTTCAATAGATATTCTTGTAATCTCTATTAAATAAAAAAAAATCTATTCAATCCCGCAAATACAAATATTACACTCAACATACGTATTAACAGTATTATTCTGCTATTTTGCGCTGGTATTCCGCAAGAACGTAGACGTAGTTTATACGTGGTAGACCCACGCTGCAGCTATATTAGTAGTATAGTTCTAGCACGAATGAGTCGGCTCGACCGGGGAAAGACCACGCTCTCACAGAATACAAGCGTAAAATGGCAGCTTGACACTGCTGTGTTTCATATGGTGAGTGTAGGGTACCACAGACCTATTTTACTGGATAAGACGCATTCCATCTTAGACCTCACGGGTGACGACGCCTCTGTATTTTGATTCTTTATTGAGGATAAATGTAGATGTCTACGGGTCACAGCAACTTACCATCAGGTGGACTGTGTGCTCATTTGTCACCCTATCCTATAAAAAAAACCTTCCTCTGTCCAGCCGACTATTCGTGCTACAACGATAATATAGTTTCACCGTGGTTCTACAACGTACCAAATCTTTTCCATTATGCTTTAATTACTTACATAACAAAAAATATAATACAAATACAGCTTTATAAAAAAAATGTTATGAGCATGGCACCTATCATATGTAACAAAATCCCAAATTTTGTAAAAAATCAAAAGAATATTTCTTTGTTATTGGAAAGATGCTATTACTCTGTGTCGGACTTCTTAAATGATACCAATATTTAAATAACGTTTCAGTTAATTAATTGTTTATAATATTGTTGCGCGCCACTATTAATGTCTTGTACATGGCAACACTAGTTACACTAGCGCCCTCTAGTGTCGAGTAGCAGAACTAGGAGAGTCAAGATCCTTCCAGAAATTTCGGGACCGATATGTACTCGAACATTCTAGATGTCGCTACAGTAGAAGGTTCTGGAAACTATCTGAGGCCCTATATAAGGCCGGTATAAACCACGACCGGGGCAGTATTGAATTGGCGATACAAGAGAATACTTCGAAGCGAAATAACGGCGAACTGTGTTTTATTATTAGTGTGATTTTAGATTGTAATTAGTGTTGTGTAATTAAAGTGTCAATTTTGGTAATTCAATCGGCAGTTTTTAATTGTCTCGAACCCCAAGCTCGTAACAATTGGTGTCAGAAGTGGGATTAAATCATGCCGATTTTACCAAAGGACGACATGGAGGGTATCCGTATCCGAAGTCAACGCCAGCTGGAAACGGACCAGAGACAATTTGGTAATACAACGCCGCAAACATCGGAGGGCCAGCTGCTGACCACGGAGGCCGGTCCGTCATCAGCTCCTGCATCTACAGCACCTGACTTAGGTGCTCTGATGATGATGCTGCAGGAACAGGCTCGCCGACAGGAGGAACAGGCCCGTCGGTTGGAAGAGCAGCTGCAGCGCGGACAGGAGGCACATGCCCGCCAACAGGAGGAACAGGCCCGTCGGTTGGAAGAGCAGCTCAAACGCCATAAGGAAGAGCAGATGCTCCTCATGAAGGACCTTTACGCTACCTTCGGGAAAGAGATAAAGGATTTGAAGGATAAGGTTGCTCTATATGACAACCGCCTGTCTGCGGCTGAAACCCGAATCGACCAAGTGTACAATCGGGTTGACAACGTGATGGCTGACGTGAAGAAAACGCTGGACGACCTCAAACATGGAGATGGAATTACAGCTCCCGTGGTAGCTACAACACCTTCGCTAGGTGGATTATTCAAAGTGCCGCCGTTCGACGGGACTTCTTCCTGGTCGGCCTACAAAATCCAGTTCAAGGCTGTTATGAAGGCGAACGGCTGGAATAAAAGTCAGGCCATGACTGCTCTCACCCTAGGCCTACGCGACCAAGCCTTAACTGTTCTGGAAGCTCTTGGTAAGGAAGTGACTTACGAGCAGCTCCGTGAGGCATTGGAGTCGAGATATGGCGACGCTCACCTGGAACACGTCTTTCGTGCGCAGCTCAAAGATCGCGTGCAACGCAGCAACGAAAACCTGCAGCAGTGGGCCCTTGAGGTGGAGAAGCTGGTTCGGAAAGCATACCAGTCTGTACCTGCGCTCATTGTAGGGAACCTGGTGCAGACATTCATCGACGGCATCCGCGACCTTGAAGTCAGAGCTGCTGTGAGGCTCGGGCACCATGAGACGCTTAAGGATGCGTTGGCCCATGCACTGGAGGTGGAAGCCGCGCGGCAGGATCATCGTTCCCATCGTGTCAGGGAGGTTTCAGCAGCTACAGTTCACGACAGCAATAAAGGATACAGCCCTAGGTGCTACGGTTGTGGGAAAAGGGGCCATCTTCGATCCAGCTGCCCTAAACGAACTGTAGAAAAAGGTGATCGATCTCGAGAGGGTAGTGTGGCTAACAGCACCGCCCAGCAGCAGCAGGGAAACTGGCGGGTGCTGACTGATTTTAGAAGAGGTACTCCTAAGATTGTCCATGTGAATAGACTGGCGCGTTATTATGGGGCCAACAATGCTCGGGACGAGCATGTTTTAGGAGGGGGCAGTGTTGCGCGCCACTATTAATGTCTTGTACATGGCAACACTAGTTACACTAGCGCCCTCTAGTGTCGAGTAGCAGAACTAGGAGAGTCAAGATCCTTCCAGAAATTTCGGGACCGATATGTACTCGAACATTCTAGATGTCGCTACAGTAGAAGATTCTGGAAACTATCTGAGGCCCTATATAAGGCCGGTATAAACCACGACCGGGGCAGTATTGAATTGGCGATACAAGAGAATACTTCGAAGCGAAATAACGGCGAACTGTGTTTTATTATTAGTGTGATTTTAGATTGTAATTAGTGTTGTGTAATTAAAGTGTCAATTTTGGTAATTCAATCGGCAGTTTTTAATTGTCTCGAACCCCAAGCTCGTAACAATTGGTGTCAGAAGTGGGATTAAATCATGCCGATTTTACCAAAGGACGACATGGAGGGTATCCGTATCCGAAGTCAACGCCAGCTGGAAACGGACCAGAGACAATTTGGTAATACAACGCCGCAAACATCGGAGGGCCAGCTGCTGACCACGGAGGCCGGTCCGTCATCAGCTCCTGCATCTACAGCACCTGACTTAGGTGCTCTGATGATGATGCTGCAGGAACAGGCTCGCCGACAGGAGGAACAGGCCCGTCGGTTGGAAGAGCAGCTGCAGCGCGGACAGGAGGCACATGCCCGCCAACAGGAGGAACAGGCCCGTCGGTTGGAAGAGCAGCTCAAACGCCATAAGGAAGAGCAGATGCTCCTCATGAAGGACCTTTACGCTACCTTCGGGAAAGAGATAAAGGATTTGAAGGATAAGGTTGCTCTATATGACAACCGCCTGTCTGCGGCTGAAACCCGAATCGACCAAGTGTACAATCGGGTTGACAACGTGATGGCTGACGTGAAGAAAACGCTGGACGACCTCAAACATGGAGATGGAATTACAGCTCCCGTGGTAGCTACAACACCTTCGCTAGGTGGATTATTCAAAGTGCCGCCGTTCGACGGGACTTCTTCCTGGTCGGCC